AGCGATTATACCACACGCGCACAGATTGCTTTAAACCGTATCAGTTTATATATCAGTTTCTCTCTATACTTGTCTTTACTTTATAGTCTTTATTTTATAACACGTGCTGATATATTATTCGAATTCAAACTGATGTACATAATGAACTGAAATCTCTTCTATTTATAGAAGAAAGGAAGCTGTTGTGTAAGCTGCTACTATACCAGATATGGATAATCTTCTACTGAGAGCAATGTTTATCCATAACGGAGTACTGAAAGGATAAGCTTATTATACCAGATATAGATAATCTTCTACCGGGGGTAATGTTTATCCATAACGGGGTACTGAAAGGATAAGCTTATTATACCCGGTATGGATAATCTTCTACCGGGGGTAATGTTTATCCATAACTGGGTACTGAAAGGATAAGCTTATTATACCCGGTATGGATAATCTTCTACCGGGGGTAATGTTTATCCATAACTGGGTACTGAAAAGATAAGCTTATTATACCCGGTATGGATAAACTTCTACTGGGGGTAATGTTTATCCATAACCGGGTACCGAAGTGATAAGCTTCTTCAGGAAGCTTATTTCCAATAGAGTACTAAATAGATAAACATATTTACGGTGGAGTCCCATATGGATAAGCTTCTTCAGGAAGCTTATTTACAACGGAGTACTAAATGAACATCCATAATATAATATATTTATAACACTCCCCCTTGGATGTTCATTAAAAGATAATGTGTCTCATTAAAACCTTACTAGGAAAAACCACGTGGGAAAAAATCCTAGTGAAGGAAAAAGAGTACACATATTTAGTAATACGCATTGCTAGGTGCCTCATTAAAAACCTTATAAGGAAAACCCCATGGGAAAAAACCTTAGTAAGGGAAAAAGATTGGATCGCGTATTTTACTCCCCGTGATGAAAACCTTATTTCAAATATTTGAGTCTCCGCATTCCAATCTTGTATACCATCTTCTCAAAAGTTGAAGTTGGCAAAGATTTAGTGAATAAATCTGTTGGATTATCACTTGAACGGATTTGTTGCACATCAATGTCACCACTTTTCTGAAGATCGTGTGTGTAGAGTAATTCTGGTGAAATGTTATTCGTTCTATCTCCTTTTATAAATCCTCCCTTTAATAGTGTTATGCATGAAACATTGTCTCAGTATAATATTGTGGGGTTTTTATCACATTCCAACCCACATGTTTCTCGAATGAATCACTGATCTCAATCATATGCACTCCCTGCTTGCCNCCATAACCGGGTACCGAAGTGATAAGCTTATTCAGGAAGCTTATTTCCAATAGAGTACTAAATAGATAAACATATTTACGGTGGAGTCCCATATGGATAAGCTTCTTCAAGAAGATTATTTACAACGAAGTACTAAATGAATATCCATAATATAATATATTTATAACATATTTCAGTTTTATACTTATTTTTCTTCGTCTAAAATAACTACAATCACTCCTCTCTATAACATCATCCCTATATAATAACAATTTACTATAAAAGTCAAGCTTTTCCGGATCCAAATTTTATGTTATGTTATAATATATGTTCCATATAACAGCACTTCGCTATAACATCCAAAAATATTCGGAACAAACGAGACTGTTATATAGAGAGTTTAACTGTGTTGGAAACTGGAATTTATTGAGATCTGAGGAATTATAAATATTTTTTGTTGAAAATATCTGTCAGATCTAATAAGTAACGTACTATAAGTTGTTTCAGATCATTTTGATATTTTGTTTTATTAGTATATGATCTTATTATAAGATCCAAAAAAACATTAAACATCACGAAAATATCATTTAACGCATCAAAGCGTTACAACTTTTTATGTTAGATAATTATCAAGTTTGAGAAATGATGAATATGAATAAAAAATTCAGATATATCAATAGTGGAGTTAAAAATATTGTCTTATGAGACTATGACCGTGAGAAACGATGAATATGATTTATTCCTTCTTTTTAACTCCCCAAATATAACATAGATATTCTTGTCACAAATATTGACTTCATTAATTTCGAATTGTTTGCTAGGTTTCTATAAATATGCGGCTTTATTAGATACCAACATTTTGCATCATCCTTAAAGCCGTACTGTCTTAGATGGTATTCTACTTGTGAATAAACAAGAGTAAGAAAGACTAATGAAAAAAATGAATAAGTAGATTGCATTTTAATTATTTACATATTGTTGAACATATTACAGTAGGTTAGACCATTTTTATTAAATTAGCAACTAATACTTATCAGAACAATTTTCTTGCATTTACTATATTACCTCTTGATTATATAAATATTTTTGGCATTATCCGTGCATAAAATTTAAATTCCTTAATTTACAGGAGTAACACGTCTTATTATAAAGATATTTTTCTTTTTGTGAGAGAGTAAAGCTCATCAATTAACTTCAAAATCTACTTCTAATCTCTAATATGCCCATTTAAATTTGAAAACGACTGAAATCTATAGAGTAAAGTACAAAAAGGCACATTTCAAGAAATAGGACCAGAAAGTATGATATGAATCTATATACAGTGAAACCTCTCTATAACAGCCTCGTTTATTCTAAATATTTTTGGATGTTATAGCGAATTATTGTTATAGAAAACATATACTATAACAGAACATGAAATTTGGTTACAAAAAAACTTAGTTTTTATAGTGAGGTATTGTTATATAAGGATGTTGTTATAGAAGATCACTGTATATTATATACAAAATGATACAACTTACTCAAGGAACCACAGGGAAAAAAGAGAGGAAAGGATTAGCACAAAAGGAATCGAACACATTCAATTGCATAAACCATAAGGTACTCATCAGCAAGAAATATCATTTCACCAACCACAGAAAAATAAATATTGAAAAGACAAATGAATGGGGTGAGATTGAAAGCAACGAATAAAAAAGGAGGTTCCATGACACATGTCAAAATAACAATAAAAATTAAGGAATGAAGTGAGAATGAAAGCAACAAATAAAGAAAAGTAATCATTATTTACTGAAGCTAGCAATTAGTGTAGAAGCAAAACCTAGAGGGTTGTGTAGACAATAAATTTGTGTCCAAAAAATAAAATCAAGACCGAAAATATCGCAACAATCGTAGTATTTTATTTCGAATATTTGAGTATACAATCTCTATGAATCCTCTGATTCTACTTTTCAATAGTAAATAAATTCAAGGGCCTTTGAGCTTGATCTTGAATATGTATTTGTTGTCTTGAACGATGATCTTGTTCTTGAGCTTGATTGCTTGAACTTGACCTTAATTTGTTCTTCGTTCTTGAACTTGCACTTGATTTCTTGAACTTGAACTTGAAGCCTGAAACTTGTGGAGGAATTTGCAGCGTTTGATCCACGAGCTCTTTCTTGCTTCTTGTTATAACTTCTGGTGTCTTTTCTGAGTTATGAAGACCCTTATTTATAGTTGTGGAAGGGAGGAGTTGTGATAAGAACAAACTCTTTCCGACCAATCAAATTAAATTGTGACATGACCGCATTTGATTGGCCAGAACATGTCACTTGCACACGTGGCGCGATTTCATTGGCCTTTTAGCGTGACTTGGCATGCCTTGTCATTTTGACACGCGGCATGATCCCATTGGCTCTTCCGTTTGACTTGGCGCGCCATGTCATTTGACACGTGGCGCCAAACTGGGCCTCTAGGAAGATGACATATTGGGCTTAATGAAGTGGGCTCATTACTTTAGCCCAATNTAATGAAGTGTGCTCATTACTTTAGCCCAATTAAATGGGCTAGCCCAATGGATTTGGACTCATTTATTTAACTCATATGCATTGAACTTATATAATTAATCCAATTATATTAGCCCGTCATATTTAGTTGGACTAACATATTTAATATTTAGTCTAAATTATTTTATTGAATTTAAATCCAATAAATTTTGTATGCTTACAGGATGTTTCTAAAATTATATCTAGTGAGTTTTTTATTTTATGAATTTCTTATATTTGATTCGAGAAAATGAAGTAAAAAGTCAAAATCTGTTATAAAACAAAGACTGTAAAGTAAAGACAAGTATAGAGAGAAACTGATATATTATTCGAACTCAAATTGATGTACATAATGAACTGAAATCTCTTCTATTTATAGAAGAAAGGAAGTTGTTGTGTAAGTTGCTACTACAAGCTGCTGTGTAAACTGCTATTACAAGCTGCTGTGTAAGCTGCTACTACAAGCTGCAGTGTAAGCTACTATAAGCTGCTGTGTAAGCTGCTACTACAAGCTGCTGTGTAAGCTGCTACAAGCTGCTGTGTAAGC